TTATTCTGCTTTCCCCTTCATGTTACACCATTATTAGTAACTATGGAATCTCAACAGTGCTCTCTACTCTCTGTACATATGAAAGCCGGTTTTTGGATTTATGGCTTATTTGCAACGTTAGTTTCCACTAAAGTCCTACTCTGATATGTCATTGCAACATAGAAGTGACTGGATTCTTGAAAGTTTCCATTTGTAAAGTTTAAGAACTTATCTCTCTCAATATTATTACCTTGTACTCAGGTACCATGATACTCTTCCAGCAATGTGTGCTGTACACAATGTATCAAAAGGAAGTCATTATAACAAGACTGGTCTAATTGATCAATTAATCATTGAACATTCATTAAGTGACTACTGTGAGGTAGATGTTCAGGACACAAATACAAAATAAGGCATTTCCTGCCATCAAGGAGGTTACATTTCTACCAAATGGGACTGATAATCATTTTTGATATTTACTTTCTTGCTTATCTCATTTATCCAATTAGTTGGTTTGGTAAATCTTGTTATTTTTTTCTCTATAACATCTCTAGTATATATACCCTTTTCTCCACAAATCCAGTCTATTGTGAAATCTTATCATTTTTATTTTCACAACATCTCTTATATGTCCCCTTCTGTCTACTCACTCTGGCACCACTTTGGTTCAGGTTCTCATCACCCCTCTCCCAAACTATTACAATAGCCTACTAATTAGGAGGCTAATTCCAGTCTCTCCCCACCACAATCCATCCTTCACTTAGCTGCAAGAGTGGTTTTCCTAAAGTGTGCATCTCCCCATGTCACCACCCTGCTCAATAAACTCCATTGGATACCTACCTACAGGATCATATATAAAATTAATCTTCTGTTTGTCATTTAAAGCTCTTTACAACCTGATCCCTTTCTACTCTGCCAATATACACCCTCCATGTACTCCATGATCTAGTCATTCTATACCACTTGTGTTTAGAAAGCCCTCCCTCTCAACCCTTGACTCTTAGAATCCTGGGTCTTCCTTTAAATTCTTGGCTTAAGCATCACCTCCTCCAGGAAGCCTTTCTTGGTATCCTCAGCTGCTAATGGTCTTCCCATGAAGCTTACCTTTCTTCTATTCTTTATCATGTATATTTTGATTTATATAAGTTTTCTCCTCTGTTAGATTGTGAGGGCAGAGACAATTTTTTTTTTTTGCTTTTTCTTTGAATCTACAGTGCTTAGCACAATGCCTGGATAATATTAAATATTTAATAAATGCATGTTGGTTAATATATAAGCATATAAAATAAATACAAAATTATTTTCAAAAGAAAGGTACTGAGGAGAAAAAGAAAAGAAAAAAGAAAAAGAAAGCTGAGGAGAAGGGCACACAAATCAGGAATGGTTTAATATGGAAAATTGTATCTGAACTGGGTTTTGAAGGAAACAAAGGATTCTAAAGAGCAGAGGTGAGGAGGGTATGTAATTCAGATATAAGGGATAGTCAGCACAAAGGTAGAGGTGGGAGATGGAGTGCTCTGTGTGAGAAACATCAGGGAGGCCAGTTTGGCTGGAACACCAAATACAGGAAGTGAAAAAATGTATGATGAGGATTTTTCTGTTTCATTCTCCTCTTAGGGGTTGGGGGAAGTAGATTGTTTCATTATTCTCTTATGAGTGAACCTTTCCTGGGTTCTTTCCAAGATGTTGACTTCACTTTGGGTTCCCACCACATCCTATTGGCTCATGCATTGCAAAAGTTTGTGCAAATGTTCTTAGAATGCTTTCATGCCATCATGCTGGAACGTGAGTAGGAACAGGGTTAGATTGGAGAAGCTAAGCAGAAAATGACAATCTGGGTGTTGTCCCCTACTGGGGGGAAGACAGGACCTGAAGAACCCGAGGTCAAATCGGTAGCTGAGGATTCCAAGGTATCAACTATAATGGCAGGAATCCAAGAGGTCAAGTGAAATAATGTCTTGGCCACCAGTGAGCAAAATGCAGGAGCCGTGAAGCACAGAACTTTCCCCACAACTGCCGGGAACATCTCCAAGATATCAGGCCCTAGCATAAACAATCTATGGGTTTGAGTATCAGAAGCACCTTTCCCAATTTACAAAAAAAAAGTAAGCAAATAAGGCTGATTCCAGAACTGGAACTAGAAGTCGGCAGATAGCTGCCTAGGGAACAATACACAGAGATTTGTACCACATGATGAGACATGAGGAAGGATGCATTTAAAGATGACTTGTATATGCAAAGGAATCTTAGCTCTCATCCATGCAGATGTAGGTCACAACCTACCCACATCTGCCCATGTGACTCTTACCCACATCTTCCCACCAATTCACCACAGGGTCCTCTCAGTGTGCTGGAGCCTTCCTCATTTTTTTGAGATACAAAGGATGCCAGAGGGTCACCCAGGCTGAATGAACGAATGAAACATTTATGTGTGAAGCACTATGCTAAGCACTGGAACTGCAAAGAGAAAGACCAGACGGTCTCTGCTCTCAAGGGCCTCACATTCTAATAAGGGAGACAACAGGTAAGGAAGGTTTCAGCGGCAAGTCAGACGGAAAGGTTCCAAAGTTCTTTGGGGGCAGCACCAAAGCAGATGCTAATGCTTCTTCTTTAATGTCATCTACACTGATAAAATCATATCAGTTTCTGACGTTGAACTCTTTGGCAGTGCCAGGGGTTTTGGTTTCAAGAATTTTCATTTCTGGGTCTTCAGTAGCTGTGGCTGCAGCACTTGAAGAAGCAATTGCCACTTCACATCTCCACAGAGATGCCTTCCCAGGATGATGCCATAGGGCACTGGGCCAGAAGCATTGCTATTTCCAAGGCTCTTGGGTACAGGGTTCTGGACTGTCTCCATCAGGGTCTGAGGGGAGATGGTGGTGGTGTTTTGACCTGTCTGACCTATTCATGCCTGTCTCTCCCTCAGTATGCCTTGAGGCTTTAGCCAGGCTGTGCAATGGTTATCCCTCATTCTCCTAATTCCAAAGTGGTCAGCCAAAAAAATATAAATGCATTTATTTGTCCTTAATATAGTGTAACATTAATTTTTGTTTTGCAAATGCATATTTTAATTCCAAAAAAATTCAGCCCTTCATGGCACATGGATATTTGTTTTGTAGTGGGTCAAGTCAACTTGCTACAGTGGGGGCTGGATATCTTCTCTAGACAGTACAATACAGCTGGAGCACAATCACCAAAACTTACCTAGGGCACTCAAGTGTCTTAATCAAAATGCTTCATTGCTCTCAGAGGGTCTACTATTCTGGTTCCTTGGATGGTTCCCAAGGCTTCTGAAATTAAGGTGGAATGGGCTAGGGACTTGAAGTGAATAAAAGCATTAAGGGAGTATTCATCCTGATATATTCAGCCTCTAGTTAATAAGAGTATAGTGGGAAAGGCCAAGAAACAAGTGGCAAAATCTAAAATACCCAGGTTGGCCAACAAGGATCTATTAGCAATGAAGCTAGATATAGTTGCCCTCTCATTCTGTCTCTCTTTTAAGTACCAACCCGCGTCTGGTTTCTACTAGATCTCAAGTTTCACAGTCTCCTGCTAAAGTCCCAGGTCCAAAGTTAACTACCAGAGATTCCACCTCTTCTTCTAATATGTCAGGTATCCAGGGAGCACTCCTTTGCCTACCTAGAGGGGAGGAACTGTGGTGAACTAAACTAATTCAAGCTGAACATTTCTTAGCACTCCCATGTCCAGATTGATCCTATGCCTGGGTAATTTCAAGGGTTAACTCTAGGAGAGGAGTGATCTTGAAGCACAACTTCATAGATGTTTTATATGTTCATTAGGTATTGTTCTCTAGTTACTACATGCTATTTGTTTGGTTACTGATTCTATGCCAAGGAAACATATTCCATGCAGGATCCAAGCTTGTATGCTTGCTTCTAACAAAGCTAAAGACTCACTGACCTACAGCTAATACCAGAAAGGAGATGAGGGTTTGCCAGAGGGTGGGACCCAAGAGGGAAGCTCTAATTGGTCTATCCACCAACTTCATATCCCTTCACAACAAGCCCAGTAGTGAGAGGCTGGGGACTCTCTGGAAATCATAAAAAATAGCACTTACTCAATACTTCCACCAACAGGGAGTGTACAAACCACCAGAGTGTGCATGGAACTGTTCTGTAGCTGGCTGTCGATACTACCTGGCCCTTATATGATGAAGGAAGGAGGGGACAAAAGGAGATGTGGAAGAAAGACTAGGAAAATGAAGAAATTGAACCCAATCTTCCATTTAGGACATTTTAATAATGCATCTTACCCCCATGTCCTCACTTTACACATCCCCTCCCTCCAATCTCCCAGCTAGAAAATTGCTCCAAGAGAGAAGAAAAGGGTTAACTGGCTTGCCTGACTGAAGATGTCTATGTGAAACCCTTTTTGGAAGTTCTGAGAATAGTATCTGATATGACTGGCCAGGAAGTCTGTGTACTCTGGGGAGCATATTTGGGTAGCTCTATAGGCCACTCCAACCTCACATCATCCCAGTTTAGCCAGAGTGGGAAAGAAGTACAGAAGTCTCCTGGCTCTAAGTCCCACAGTACCTACCAGTTCCAGGCAACTTGTACCCAGGCAGCTCTACCTCTAGGGAGCTTTTAGGGATGGGATATGGGATAGAAGGGATCTTATGCTTTTTTTTTTTGCAACTTCATATCACAGCTGCAGAATTTCCCAATTTCCTTCCAGCTCTGCTATATTCATTATTTTCCTTAGTGTACCCTACTCAGGACCTCAACCTCCAGTCCCCCTACCCCAACTGAGCACCCCAGGTGACCCTAAGACCATGGCCCAGTATTCTTCAATCAATATTTATGTTCACAGATTTCAAAGGACATAAGAAAGAGGCCCCTTCCCTGATTCACAGCAAAAGTAAAGTCAGAAGGAAAAAACATCACCCAAACCCTCCCTGCCCATTACCTGCAGTTTCTTCCAGTTGCCACCCCTGTCCCTCCAGTGCCTCTCCCCATAGTCCCCACTGTAGAAAAGGAGCAGCCTATCCTCAGACTCACAAGCCTGGGTTTCCTCCCACGTTCCTAGCAGCAGCAGCAGCACCAGCAATAACCCAACGGAAAGATGGGCCTGCTGTGTCTCCCTTCTCTCCATCTCTACCTCAGGATCACCGACCAGGATTCTTCAGCCTGGGTTTCTGTTCACAGATTTCAAAGGGCATAAAGGAGAGGCCCTTTCCCTGGGTCCGTGGAGGAAGTAAAGTCGGAGGGAAAAAAAAATTAGTCAGAGTCAGACTCTCCTGGGCACTTGCCATGGAACTAAATGCCTCTTTTCCATTTGTCTTTTTGTTTTCAAGCAAAAAGAAGAAGAAGAAGAGGATTCAGGGGAGAGAAGAGAAACAAAAATTTTATGGGAGTCAACTTGAAGAGACCAAGAAGGCGGGTCCAGGGCAAATGGAAGAAATTCAATAATCCAGTACTTGTCCTGCCAGTTTGCCCAGCCCCACCCCTCAGCCATTAATGTCTGATGCCGCTGCTGGGCTAAATGCAGTTCCTCCCACTTCCTTTCTTCCCTTCTGGTAAACATACCACACCTTCAGCCAATTCAACAGGACCCAAACGCAGGAGAAGGGAACTACTCACTCTTTCAGGGTATGATAGATTCTGGCCACCAACAGGTAGCTAGAAATCCAATGGGATTTCTCCTTTTTTCTCTTCAATTTCCAATATCTTCCTCCCCTTCCCTTCACTTTTGTTCATTGCTCTTACTCCCTTTCTTTCTCTCTCTTTTTCCTATTCTCCCCTACTCCAGCCCACTCATTTTCCCCCCAAGCTCAGCAAGGATTTTGAGCTCACAAAGACCTAGGTCTAATTTTGAGAACTGATATCAGAGTCATTTTCTCCTTTTGGTTCATTGTCCCCCACCTAGAATTAATCTAGGAGCTCCAGAATAAAGTTTAGGCATAATTCATATCTAAAATTTCCCCAAAGTGGATAACAAGGGTCCTGACTCCCAGACAATTACTTAATGTACAATATGAACATTGAGTGTTGGACAGACTTTATTTCCTCCACCATAGGAAATGCACAAGATGAAAAGGATCCTCAGGAACTCATGAACAATCAATCAATAAACATTTATTGTCAACTATGTTTGAGGCACTGAGCTAAGTGCCGGGGGCTACAAAGAGAGGTAAAAGACAGTCTCTGCCCCCAAGGTGCTTACAATTTAATGGGGGAGACAACAATATGTAAACAAATATAGAAATGTCAAGAATTCAAATAGGCCATTAGATACACCAGTCCCCTGAACAAATATTCCCCCATTCACCTCTCACCTGCACCATCTGAGCAATTTGCAGCAATAACACGGTGGGTCAGCAAAATCCAGATCTGCTGATCCTTGGTGACATGGCTTTAGTCTTTTAGCTTCAGGCAATCATCTCTGGAAAATCTTTAAGAAGCATGCTGTCAAGGAAATCTAGCTCAGAGAGACTGGGGTTAACTCTCAAACACAGGATTACCCATGAGGCAGCCCCTTAAGGTTCCCAGGTTGATTTAGCTTCATGGTAGCAGTTTTGCAAACAAGTCTGCAAGGCAGCCTTCCAAAAGGCTTGGGAAAAGGAAGCTGCCTGACCTTCCTCCTCCCACATCTGGGAGGTCTCTCCTATAACGGGAGATAGAACCTTCCTCAGTCTCTGGAATCTCAGGTTGTGCTTCCCCTTATCAAGCTTTATGTATACATCGAGGTGACACCGTGGATAGACTCACCTTCCAGAGTTCAAATATAGCCCCAGACACTTACTAGCTGTGTGACCTTGGACAAGTCATTTAACCCTGCTTGCCTCAGTTCCTCATCAGTAAAATGAGCTGGAGAGAAGAAAATAGTAAGCCACTCCAGGATCTTTGCCAAGAAAACACCAAATAGGGTCATAAAGAATCAGAAATGACTGAACAACAATTCTTCTTCTGGGGCACGGTGTTCAAACTGAAGTGTACTACTGAGTATTCTGTAGTCTCTCCCCGCACTCTCTCACCTCTGGGCACTGCTGCCTGGAATGCACTCCTCTGTCTTGACCCAATGCAAGGGCTATCTCCTCCCCGATAAAAGTTCTTCCCAACCACTAGCTAAAAATAATCTCTCTCTCTTTCTGCTTTCCTGCTATAAGAATAAAGCCTTATCTTGTTCTGCCCGGCATAGTTGCTTGTTTACATTTCTTTCACTTTATTAACTCTTGAGAGCGCATTATGTATTGTTTCCATTTTTGTAGCCTAAGCACCTAAGCACAGTACCAAAGTGGTTACTTAATAAGATGTTCCCGTGGGAGCAGGGGATCTATTCTGTTCCCTCTGGTTCCTCTATTTGCCTCTAAGCATGATTCACTCTCACTGACTCAATGTGAACAGTGGTTCCTTATAGCAGCGATCGGCATTCTCCCCATATGTTACAGCGTATGACCTTGAGGCTCAAGGGCCAGTACTATGCAGGGAGGGGGAAGCACCTATAGCTTCTCGCTCTTGATAGCCTCCTACATATCTCATATTAGTGTTTCAAGTGCTGAGGAGGAAAAAGAAGAATGGGAATGAGATCAGTCTGTCAATCAATAAACATGAAGTGCCATCTATGTACCAGGTATATTGCTAAGTATTGGGGATGTACAGAAAGGCAAAAGATAATCCCTAATCTCTCATTTTTTGTAAATTTTTTTATTTTAGACTTAAATACAAAATGAGAAAAGAAAAAAAATTGCCATATACATAGCAGACCATGAGAGAGGATTCAATATAAAACAGTAAATTTCCATTTCAAGAAAACCTATATAATAAATACTGCACATAGTTTTTAAAGCTGCCCAGCTTTCCTTTGTTTCCTTGTTGGTTTTCTTTTGCTCTCAGCTGTACATTTTTTAACTTTATTCCCCTCCCCCACTCTAAAGAAGGCTACAATCAAGTGTGGAAATATATACATGGATATCTATAAACATACTCATATATACATATATACACTCATACACATGTAAGACTGTACTATGCTTATTTCTTCCTATCATCTGTTTCTCTGAAGGTGGATAAGTCCAAGTCTTGCCATGTTTTTCTAAATCAACCAGTTCATCATTTCCTATACCACAGCAATATTCCAACCCAATCACACCCTGAGAGATTGTCCATGAAAGTTTTCCCCAATTTTCTGCATTCCTTCTGTTCTTGGCTACATAGGTTTTATTCATATAAGAAAATTTTAATTTAAAATAATCAAAATTATCCTTTTTACACTTCAACAATGCTTTCATCTTATAATATAATTCAAGGTCTGATACTGCTGAATCTACTTCCTTTACATCTTTTTCTCCTTGGTTTCTTTGAAGTTCCTGACTTTTTGTTCTTCCAAATGAACTTTGTTATTATTTTTCCTAACTCAATAAAATTGTTTTTCAGCAATTTAATTGGGGTGACATTGAATAAATAGATTAGTTAGGTAAAATTCTCATTTTAAAAATTATATTGGCTTTGCCTACACATGAACAATAAATATTACTTCAATTATTTAGATCTGAGTTTATTTGTATAAACAATGTTTTATGTTAATGCTCATATAGTTCCTGTGCCTGTTTTGGCAGGTACACGTTCAGGTATTTTAGACTGGCTAGATATTTTAAATTGTTTCTTTCTGACCATTTGTAGTAATTTTTCCTTGATCTGATAGTTCTGAAATTTGACTATAATGTTTCTTGGAGTTTTTATTTTGGGATCTCTTTCCTGAGGTGCCCAGTGGATTCTTTCAATGCCTTTTTTGCCCTCTGGTTCCAGGACATCAGGGCAGTTTTCCTTGATAATATCTTGAAAGATGCTGTACAGTTCCTCCTTTTGATTATGGCTTTCAGGTAGTTCAATGATTCTGATATTGCCTCTACCAGATCAATTTTCCAGGTTAGTTGTTTTTCCGCATGAGATATTTTACATTTTCTTCCATTTTTTTTAACATTTGCAAAAAATGTGTAATTTTATTTAATCAGTTTTCATATTCTAGATCCTTGAGGGATAGAGCATCACTCGGATCCTGTGTCCAATGGCCTTGGCAGGAAGATTGCTTCTAAGCGTGGCTCGAACCATCTCACTATTTCCATGAGCTCAAGTAACTTTTCCCCAGATAACTTTTGTTCTGTTTGGTTTCCCACCAGGAGTCACAGTGTTGTTTTTAGCTTTGTGTACATAAGCACATCTCTTGCCCAAATAGAATTCAGTTTCATCCCGAGCATAGACTCCTTCAATTTTCAGAAGAGCTGTATGTTACCTCTGGTTTCGTAGGCCTCGCTTGTAGCCAGCAAAAATGGCCTTGGACCACAGTCTTCCAGACATTTTGCTGTTCTAGAAGTCCTGTTTCCAGCAGGCCTCCCCGGCTCCAAGATGGAGGAAAAAAAAAAAAGGTTTTTTCATTCTTTTGAATTTGTTTGATTGATTCTTGATGTCTGCTTGCCCAATTCTAACTTTTAAAGTGTTGTTTTCTTCAGTTAGCCTTTGTACCTTCTTTTCCATTTGGCCAATTATAATCTTTAAGGAGCTGTTTTCTTCAGTGGGTTTTTGTATCTCCTTTTCCATTTGATCAATTCTAATTAGCCAATTTTAAGCAGTATTCCAAGTTGTTTACTCTTTTTTTCATGATTCTCTTGTATCACTCTCATTTCTTTTCCCATTTTTTTCTTTTATCTCTCTTATATGATTTTTAAGCTCCTATATGAGCTTTTCCATGATTTTTTTCTGGGCTTGAGACCACTTCCCATTTATCTTTGGGGTTTTGCCCATAGGTGTTTTGACAACGTTATCCTCTTCTGGCTTTGTGTCTTGGTCCTCCCCGTCACCATAATAACTTTCTATGCTCAGATTCTTTTTTTTATTGTTTTTTGCTCATGTTTTGTTGGTGTTGGCCTTTTTCCTTTCTTTTAAATTTGAGCTCTGCACCTGGGTGTGAAGGGGCACAGTCTCAGGCTTTTTGTGCTAGTGGCTACAGGCCCCGGTTATTTACCTGATGTTGTGCTGATGTTGCCTTGAGGGCCCTGGGGGACCCTCACGTCTGGTGCTGTGCTGAAGAGATGGGGTGGGGGGTGGCTGGGGTCTGGCAGCTTACCTTGTGCTGGGCTAGGGTCCTAGTGCTGGTGTCTGGCATGTGCTGAAGGCCAATGGGGGTGTTTCAGCATTTCTCCAGGGCTACACTGAAGCACGTGGAGGTCTGGCTGCTGGAGGATGCCTGTTTGCCCAGGGCTGTGCTGGAGCATGTGGAGGTCTGTCTGCTGGAAGATGCCTGTTTGCCTGGGGATACACTGAAGAACATGGTAGTTCTCAGAGCTGGAGTCTGCTGGTTCCCCTGACAATGTCAAGGCAAGTGGAGGGGTCCTGTTGTTGGTGTTTGCCTGCTCTACCACACTGGGGCTCAGAATCTCCCTCTGGTTTGCTAAGGTGGGGCTTGCTGCTGTTTTGCTGGGACACTTTCTG